CCTCCTTAAGTCCATCCAGGAAACTCCTTATCCATCCCACAAGATTGTAGAGGAATTACTTCACTTCGTAGAAACTGAGGTTGTCAGGCGTTCACCTGTTATTCGTCAAGCTACCTGGCTTACCATCGGATCTATGATGCGAGGAGTTGTTGGACACATCAAGGACGAAACAATAATGAGGGAAAGACTGGTCCGTATGCGAGAGGAAGAGAGAAGCGACCTTAAGCGCAGATATCTTCAAATATTCAGGAGGGAATACGATAAGGCTAGGACAATTTACGAAAAGGTGCTGTGCCTCAAATGGCTTGCCAATGCCGGAATCGACCTTTCTGCTTTTGAACTTGAGAGGATCATCATGAACAAGCGTGAAGAGCTGCCTGTTCGCATGGAAGCCATTGATGCCCTTCGCCTTCTTAGAGAAGTGATGCCACGCAAGATTCAGTCTATTCTTATGCCAATTTACAAGGACCGCCATGAGGAGCCAGAACTGAGAATGGCTGCACTTGTCCGCATTATGCACACTCTTCCACACCAGCCTGTGATTGTCCAGATCATCTCTACAATGGAGCGTGAGCCAAATCATCATGTTGCAACCTTCACCTATGATTTGCTCAAGTCCTTCGTCCACTCTACCCATACCTGCTACAAGAAGCTCGCCAAAGAGATTCGCCCTCTTCTCAGCATGACCCGCTATGTGCGTGGAGACCGCATGCTCACAAGCACTTACAAGTACATCCCAATGTTCACAGAGGACATGTTGAGTGGCCTCAACATGGACTTCGCCACCATCTTTGGAAAGAACTCTGTGTGGCCTAAGGAGGTCATGATGTCTCTTGACACTGTCTTCAACGGAATGTGGAATAAGTATCTGTTCCAGCTTGGATTCTCACAGCAAAACATTGAAAAATTGCTTGAGAAAATTACTCGCAAGCTCGTGAGAATGGAAACGGAAGTAGACAACGTTGTTCGTGGACGCCGCATCCGCGAATCTATGAACATCCTCAAGGAGATTGCCAAGAAGCTCAACATCCGTCCACGTG